GAACAAGAATCTTTAAGCTCCTGAAAGCTATTTCTGAACAAGCCGTGTTTTGTCGAATGGTATTTTCATGTCATGTGTTGGCAACATAGTTTTACACGGGAAATTCTTCACTGCGCAAGAATGGGGGGAAAAACACGAGGACTATTATCTCTACCCATTACTCATCTAATTTTCAGATGGTTGTGTAATGTTTCTCCTTCCACTGCTGTTAAGAACTTAGGTAAGTCAACCAAATCGGAAATATATTCAGATTATCCTATTCAGAAAGATTATTGAAGTTATGAAAGTAAAGAACTACAGTGCAAGTGTTTATACGCTGCATTCCCATCTCAACTGCTAATACCAACAGCATAATACTTCACAGTTTATAATAGCATTCCAGTTTTAATCTCTCCCGTTTCTTATGGAGACAGCATCCAGCAAGCTAAGTTCTAGTACTTATTTCCTGGCTAGCAGACACATACAGCTTCTAAGGCTTCCAAAAACCATGGAAATAACACCCCTTGAGTCCTTATATAAATCTAGGCAACATGGCACTTCCCCCACATTTTAAATACAGTGCCCATAATTCTGTCCCACTGAATCTTTCTGATTGGAGCTAGTAAGGTCCCAGACATTTGGAATGAATCAGATTTCTTGCCTTCAACATATAGGGGAAAATTTGTGTCCTTTCGGTAATTTGTGGATTCTCCTTCCTATCATCCCCATTTTCCTAAGACAATGATAGCAATTCAACGTTTGGAGGCCAAACATTACTACTTACTACTACTACACTTAATGGTATAGCATACATAGTCACCCTATCAGGGAGATGAGTGGCATATGAATTTAATAAATAGATAGCACACCAGTACCAAATGTCTAATTTTAATACACTTTAATGGCAGACATTTTATTTGTCCACATTTTATTTGCCCTTTTGTTTTATCTTAGTTTTTAGTTTCCTTTTCCATATGGTTGTTGACTTGTATAACACAAGCCACTCTGGGAAGAGCAAAGAAGTTTCTAAAATAATCCTGAGGTTCATTATTTCTAATGATGCTTGGAATAGCTTCTACCAATGCCCTTTATGTTTAAATCGCCAAAAAAATGGATTAGATTAAATTTTAAGGGCAATGTCCTGGCAGTACAAACTGTTCCACAGTGAATAAACTGCTTCAAAATATGCTGGACTCAACTTTGTTTAAAAAAAATTCATTTTAAATAATTTTATTATGTTTTATAAAGCACACATATAAAAAAGAACATAAACTAACAATCAAAAGAAATGATAAAGAATAAAAAGAAATGGGGATCAAAGTGTGTAAAAATATAAAGAAAAGGAAAGGAAAAAACAAATATATACCAAGAATGACTTCCAACTTCTTCTTCCAAAAATATAAAGAACGCTTACTTTTGAATATTTATTTATTTATTTATTTATTGGTTTGATTTATATGCCGCCCTTCTCCGGAGACTCAGGGTGGCTTACAATGCGTTAAGCAATAGCCTTCATACTTTTTTATATATACTGCTTAGTAGGGCTTTCGGGTCCCCCCCCCCCCAAGCGGTGTTCTTTTTATACAAAGTCAGCTTATTGCCCCCACAATCCGGGTCCTCATTTTACCTATCTCAGAAGGATGGAAGGTTGAGTCAACCTTGAGCCTGGTGAGATTTGAACTTGCAGTAATTGCAGGCAGCTGGCAGCTAAGTGCTACTTTAACAGCACTTTAGTCTGCTGCGCCACCAAAGCTCATATTAATTTAATAGCTTATTATTTATTAGTTTTATTATAGTTTAAGACTACAATAAAATGTCCATTCCCCTCAAAAAAGGAGGAAATAAAAAAGTTCCCGTTTTTCAATTTTAACAATCATCAAATACGTATGCCAAAATTTGATTCTTCTCCATCTCATGCAAAAAGTCCCACCAAAACTGAGTACTCAACCACTTGGAACCCACCCACTGTACATTTCTTGGAATTGGTAACTGCAATTTCTTCCAAGTCTGTTATTCAATAATTTAAGAAAATAAAAAAGCTAGCATCATTCCATATCCTATGCATCTACTTTCTTCCTAGAAATAAAACACATCTGAACTGGGGGCAAGTTTTAATTGATGTTATATATTAATTAAATTGTTAATAGTTTTATTCCAAATCATACAGACGGTAATCTTAAACTGTTCTTTTACGGGTTGGTCCAAAATTTAAAGGCACTCTTGATCCATGGATTGGTCGAATCCATGGAATTTGAGATCCGATTCCAATCCCTCATATTTCAATCACTGCAACTACCATATTTCTCTGAATATATGACCGTCTTATATTTTTTTGAACCCCGAAATATGCACTTGGTCTTATTCTTGGGGAGGTCTTATTATTTTGGGGTGCGTGGAGCAAGACCGGGATCCTCTTGCCATCTTACCTGATTTCCAGTTCTGTCTCCCTAACCCTAACAGAGGAAATGCGGGGCCCAGCTGTGCATGCGTTTAAATATTTTTGGGGAGGACTTATTTTCGGGGGAGGGCTTATTTTCAGGGAAACACAGTATCACTCTTTAATTCAATTGAGAGTTAGTGCAATTTTCTTCAACCTGGGATCTGTTTCAGGTATATTAACCTTGTCTGCATGAAATTGCCCATACTAACCATTTCTGGAAGAACTTTTTATATTGTATTTTTAACATAGTTTTTATGTTACATTCCTGTCCTCATTATGACTGTCTGAAATGCCCACCCTATTATACGCAATCTAAAAAAAGGAACCCAGCTATACAAGTCAGTAAAACAAAGCAGGCTCCTCACCCAGCCTCACTGCAGGCTTTACACAATGGAATAGTGCAATAAAGCTCTTGTGTTTGTCTTAGCAACAGCCTATGGCAGATACCTCCCTTAGGACAGAACCAAGCAACTTTCCCTTTGTTGAGAAAGAATATAGCCAGTCTTTTACTTTGACTTATCTCCTTCCCCGCAGGACAACAGTTTATTTCTAATTGCCCTCAAAACTTGACACTCCAGTTGTGCTTGATACACACCTTTGACCTGGGAAAGTCCTTTTCCTGCCAGTAAGGAAGACTGTTGACTATACAGTTGCTTTGTATTCCCAAATGTCTAAACCAAATTGCTGCCTAATATCCCCTCTCACATCCTATGAGGTTTGGATGCAGTGTGGATATCACATCAAAATGACCTGAAGAATACTTGACATTTTCCACCCAGCTAAGGATCTGGACTGCCAGGAAGGCTGTTCTCATGATAAGGAGTGTGTACAATCACCAGCTTTACCTGTCAAAACTTGGCATGGAAGCAATAGTAAAAAGTAAATGCTAAAGAATCTCAGCCCAACATGTTTATCAGACTTAATCCTGGTTCCTGTGCTTCTCATCCAGTCTTTCTCAGCTTTAGTGCCTTCCAGATGCATGTATAGCAATTTCCCAAAATTTGAGCATCACTATGTTGAAAATTTTGGGAAGTAATCTTTACAAAAGTAGAAAATGCCCAAGCTAGGAATTTGCTTAAATGCTGCTTTTCCATCCATGCTTCTGAAAAAAAATATTCATAAAAACATAAATAGACTCTAAATATGCACCAAAATTAATACAGAACCTTGACCTACAGCAGTACAGATTTATCTGGATAGTAGGAAGAGTCATTTTAAATACCTTTTTACTCTAAGAATATTTCATATCCAGTGTCTATCTATCTATCTATCTATCTATCAATATATATATATATATATACACACACACATACACACACACACACACGTGTGTGTGTGTGTGTGTGTGTGTGTGTGTGTGTGTGTGTGTGTGTGTGAAAACCACTCACACTGCAATCACGAAATCTCCAGAACCGTAAAGCCTACAAACTTGAAATTTGGCACATGTGTTCCTCTTGGCTTCTAGGTGCTTGCTAAGAAAGGATTTTTCAAAAAGATCATCAGATCATTAGTATTTCTTATATTATTATTAGCATGCTCTGATGCTAATTAGTTAGACATTCTACTCCCCCTTCCCAACCTGAAAATAACTCTGGAGAGAACGGGATAGGATAGGAGAGGCTTCTGTGCAGCAACCCTGAGGGAAAGTAGGGGCTAGAATAGGAGTGGCTTCTGTGGGGCAAGCCTAAGGGAGAGAAGGGCATAGGATAGGGTAGGGTAGGGTAGGGTAGGGTAGGGTAAGGTAGGGGATGGGATGGGATGGGATGGGATGGGATGGGATGGGATGGGATGGTAGGATAGGATAGGATAGGATAGGATAGGATAGGATAGGATAGGATAGGATAGGATAGGATAGGATAGGATAGGATAGGATAGGATAGGCTTCTGTGGGGCAAGGCAGAGGGAGAGAAGGGGACAGGAGAGGCCGATCGTAATTACTTTATCAAGCCCAATCACATAGTTTCATAGCACAGGTATTCAGCTAGTTCCTAATATCTGCCTTTTCCTTCCTTCCTTCCTATATAAGTAAAGGCAAAAACTTTGATCAGACACCTCAATATGGCTGATTTAAATAATGGATTAGAAAATCACATTTGGCCTCTAAGGCCATTTTTGAAAGCTTCAGAAGTAACCTAAAGCAAGAACTGGCAGCATAGTTCTTTCCATTTTGAATATGAAATACCAATGCCTATAAGTAGTTTAACACAAATGTGGGAAGAAGAAAAAAGCACATAATCCCATCTGCAAAATCCAGAAAATCCCAATCCAATTCATAGGCACTTGGTATCATTAATAAGTCCTGTCTCCACAAATAATATTAATTAAATAACTACTTACCCCAAGATAGTTAAAATGAACCATCCCTTACATCTTTAGGTAGAAGACCAGGCTGAGAATCAAGTATAATAATAATAATAATAATAATAATAATAATAATAATAATAATAATAATAATAATAATAATAATAATAATAATAGTAGTAGTAGTAGTAGTAGTAGTAGTAGTAGTAGTAGTAGTAGTAGTGAAACCTAAGGATTTTTATAACCAGCGGAGAAAAAACCAGAAAGAGGAATGACTTACTGAATTTATGCAACCTAATTCTTTATTCAAAAGCCAGGGCAGAGAAAGCTTCCCTTCTCCACGGTAGCAAGACTGGATACGCTCCTTGATCTTGTCTTTGATCTTCTTCAATGTGAAAAGGCAGAGGACAGATTCTTTGGGTGGTTTGACTCTATTCTTCTGCCCCTGTGAGAAGATGGTGAACAGAATGTCGTCCTGTTCTGAAATGCCCAGTTGCTTGGCCAAGGCCCTTCCAGGTTTACTGAGGTAAGCGTCCTGAATTAAGCGATATTCAATGCCATCTCGAATACAACCAATGGGAAATTCCACATATGAGTAGAACTTGGGATCATCCACGCATAGCCGGACAACTTTTGAGGTGAAAAACTGTTCTCCTGTAGAGTCTGGTGAGGTAAGTTGGGTGTCCAGCTGCAGTGTTAGGTAATAGACAAACTGCTCACTACTGAAACTATAGATATAATAGATATCAAATGTGGGAAACTTGGACAGTGTATCTGATGGGATCTTGAGCTGGGAAGAGACAAATTCATCTTGATAAACAAAGCCAAACATCTCTGCATTCTCTTCACTGTCCATCAGTTTACGGCTGGACAAAGTAGGGAAATATTCAGACTTTCCATCAATGGGAGTTCCAATGAAAAGCTTGTTTTGTCCATTCTGCACTTCAATTATAACACCAGACATTGTTCCTGATTCATTGACACTAGAGAGGTAGTGTTCCTTGCGGTGGTGCGGCTCACCCAACTTGAAGAGATCATCCAAGCGTAGGAACTGGCAGATACCTTGTGAAGCACTGCCACAGGCTATCAGACGATTCCCAGAGTAATCCACCAGCAGCAATTTATTGACATTGTTGGTACTGACTAGCCCATGTGGGCAAGACTGCACACTAGGTGGTGGGTAACACTTCTCATTGTCTTCTACTGGACCCGTCACATGTGTGCGCATTTCTGTCAGATTGTTTGCAAGTTTATAGATCCGGTTGACAGCACCCACATATACTTCCCCAGTTTTGTTGTGGACCACCAAGTGTGTCAAACTCCAGTCTGTGACTTGGAAAGTCATAAAAGGAGAGGAAGATTTGGTAGTGCTTTTTGCCAATGGCAACCAAGAACTACCCAGAAGCAGCAGGGTCCAAATATTAATTGAGAAATGGTGCTTTAGCCTCAGAAGCCACATGGTGGAAGAGTCACATCCAGCAATGCATTAATCTAACTATAAAATAAACAAGAATCAAACCAAAAACTGGAGGGAGGGTGGGAGGGAATGAATTCCTGTGAACGAACTTCTTTTTTTCCACTTGTTTCCAGATTCAGGACATTATGGATGCTGGCATTCTACATGGCCCTAGGAAAAAAATGCAAAAACAAGCATGGTTAGGCGAACAGTTGTGCCACTCAAAATACAACAGCACAATAAAATCTCAGTTACAAACATCTCAGGAATGGAGGTGGTTCAGATAGCTGAAATATTCAGCTGTCTCAGAGAAGCATTGCATAGTATTTGTTCATCATTCTGCATTCTTCTCATTAAAGTTCCCATGACTGTTTTGTAAATTCACTATAGAAAGAAGCAGCTAAATTGTTCTGAGGACTTGTTTAATGTTCTTTTTTTTTCCCCAATGGCAGCAAAAACCTTAGTGTTAAATTTGGAATCCTGTTACCAAGGGACTAATTTTACAACTTTTGAATTAAGAAAAAACAAGAGACATAAAGTGAAGGTCTGGAATTTCTTGTTTCTTTTTTAAACTTTTTTAAAAACTGGGATTAGATCTGTTCTTAACTTATTTTAGTTCATTTCTAACCTGTTCTGTGCATCTGTATCATTGTTCTGAATGCTTGCTATTTATATTAAACTGCACTGCATTGCATTACTGTGGTATCAATGTCGGTTATGTTTTCTCATGGTTTTAAAATGGATAAAGGCAACATCGACTTCTCACAAAAGAATACTGGAAAATTTCCATACATATTTGTAGGATGCAATAACCGAAACAAGTCCATAAATCCTTAATTACACTTAACTGAAAAGCCAGATTGTCTTTCAAGGAAAAAAAATGGCTTTGTGTCATGGGTTAAGAAACAGAATAATGCACATGGTTACTTGAAAGTCATTTCCGCTTTGTTCTTACAAATTTTGTATGAAGTGGTGTGACCATGAAGAAATAAATACCGGTAATTATAAAATCTTTTAGGAAATTCAGCATTCTTCCTGTTCCTTCCCAGTTTTAAGGAATATATATCTGAATTTGTACCACCCTCCCATCTCCATGAGCAAATTTGCCATTATTTGTTACTTTGCCTCCCAGCACCATCAATCTTTCACACATGCAGGAATGTGAAGATGATGTATTAGCTTCATAAAGCATGTGACTGTCAGCCTTTACTTTAATCTATTTTCCTCTATATACATGTTCAAAGAGAGCACTTAGCACTAGCACTTAGACTTATATACCGCTTCATAGTGCTTTTACAGCCCTCTCTAAACAGTTTACAGAGTCAACATATTGCCCCCAACAATCTGGGTCCTCATTCTGGCATGAAACTTAAAAGAGATGTTTGGAGGGAGCAACCTAAGAAAAGTAGCTACTCCCTCTGTGTTCAATATACAGTAGAACCTCTGGTCACAAATGCTTCTGACTATAACCAAATCAGGTTCTGACCAAAAAAAATAACTTTTTTTTTTCCGCAGCCAATTTCCCCTTCCGCACCAAATTTTTTTTTTTTTTTTTTGTAAGTGCCAAATTTCCGAAATTAGGTTCGCGTCATGACCAAATTGGATTGCAACCAAAGTTATGGAACAAATTACAGTTGTGACCAGAGGTTCTACTGTGTTTGGTCTTTAACTAAAAACCTTATTTACATAAAGGTTTGTGACATTTTATGGTAAATTAAAAAAACAAAATGTTTAGGAAACCACAAAGTACATCTCCTAATATGACAAAAGTCTATTCTGCATGTATTAAAATACTCTTGAAGATATCCAATTAACCACTGGACCTGCTTTCCTCTAGAAGTTGCTCCATCATTAGAAATTGTTAAGAAAAGATTGGACAACCATTTGTCTGAAATGGTATAGGGTATCCTGCTTGAGCAAGGGGTTGGACTAGAAGACCTCCAAGGTCCCTTCCAACTCTGTTATTCTGTTATATCTCATCAATGTTTCTTTGCTTATACTAAGTTACTTTTTCAAAATTTGACCATTATGTGGAAGTGCCAATGTTCTTGCCACTCAACCATGTCTGGCAAGCATAGAAATTGCTTTTAAGATTTTCAAGATTTTCCCATCTGCCAGGCAAATGATTCTCATTCTTATAACAAAAGGCAGCCTTAGGCTTATCCTAGATTTAGCACATACCTCAGAAACCTCAGAACTAGCCTTCAGGCGGAATAAAGGGTGAAGGGTGGGGGAAGCCACATTACTCATTCCCTGAACTGCCATTCCAAACATTCAAGAGCATAGCTTTGTGCTTTTTTTTTTTTTTTGCTCTTCACAAAAGTAGGAAGTGCGCTTGTCCTTCCTTCCAAGATAGGTCAAAACATATCCTTAAATACTTGTACAAGGCACAAACCAGAATACTCCGTTTTTTTAAACATTCTCCTGCAAAGTGCTACCATTCTAGGTTTTTAAAAACTAATCCTGAAGAAAACAACTACTAAAGCATCAATTTTGAACCCATGGAGCTAGAATAATCATAATTTAATGCTGTATGTTGCCTGGAGTCACGGTGTATGAGTTTAGTGGCTATATAAGTTTGTTTTTTTAAAAAAATATCAGTAGCTTAATTATCCAAAGCTGGATTCTTCCTTAATATCAAATCTTTGAAAATAACTCAAAATCAGAATTCCCTCCTCCACTACCTAGTATAAGTTGAAGAGTCTTTTCCCTTTAGCTATGGTTCTCTATATGTGCCTGAAGACATTGGGTGAAGAATGGACCAATGTGTTTATTCTACCCTTTGAAACTGAAGAGATTGTTGTGCCAGGCATCCACAATTAGGATTAGAAAAAAAAGGGAATCGAGAGGGTTAAGTGAGAAGGAACTCTCTTGACACTGCAAGAGGAAGAAAAGAACAATTGGGAAAGCAGTGGAAGGTTATGGGGTTTCTCCACTGTTGGAGTACTCCATTGGGAAAAGAGGAGGGGACCTTTGCCAAAGGATAGGTAGAAGCACAATAGTTTAATCTATTAATATTAATCTATTGTGTTTCCACCAACATTTGGCACTGAGACATTAACCTTTTGAATGGGCTCTCAAGGCTACAACAAAGAGTTTGTGGGTGAAAAGCATAATCTCCTAGATGCATATTTATGATCTGAGACTTGAGCGTCTCACACAAAGAGATGCTCTAACAATTTACTTCCTGCATCATGATTTCTACAATCTTGCCTGAATCTACACGGATGCATCTGATTTTTCAGTGGAAAGCTTTGTCACAGAATTCAGGACCTCCACTTCCACGTTCGGATTAGTATTGGTAATTTCATACATGCAGATGAGCGTTAGCAAAATAAAAAATCCATCTGTCCTTTTTAAACAGAAGCGTGTTGAGAACTGGTCTGACTCCCAGCACCATGAGCCCTTCAAACATCTGTTCTTCAACTACCCATTAGGCCACATTCCCTCTTGACAATATCAATGGAGTTGATGCTGGCTGGGCCACAGAGGCTGAATGACTTGCCATTCATAGACTAAGAATGCAAAGCTAAAGTAGGGTCTGGGCTCAACCTTGCTTTGTTTTGACTATAAAGGGAAGCCAGCTTGTCAAAATAGCAATCAACCCATTTCAGTAGCAACGCTGACATGTACACAGAAAAGCCTTCGGCTAATCTCTCAGGCATTCAGCTTCATCCCAAGAAATTGCTGATCCCAGAGAAAAAGCCCAAGAGCCCTTCTCCCATAGAGAATCTGCTTCAAAAAGAGAAACTTGGGAAGGGGGGAGATGGTTTTCATTTTATTTTTTTTCTTCTCTTGCCCATTACCAGGAAGCTCACGTGCAACTAGGGAAAATGTTCATGGCCATTTCACCATTTACCTAATTGGACTTCAATGTGTTGAGTGGTTAGCCATTAATGAGATTTTACTTTTTATAAAGATAGGAAGCAAAAACAGAGGCCATCACAAAGAGAGAAACGAGCTGCGACAATCTGCAAAGAGAGAGTTTGGCTGTTTTAAAGAGGTTTCACTTCCAGCTCTGATGTACGGCTTACTCCATGAATCTGAATTATTCCATTCCTATTTTGAGTTTTGTCCCTACTCTCCGTGAAATAGAGGGGACATCTATAGCTGTAGCTTACCTCACATTACCATGTTTCCCCAACAGAAGGAAAAGAATGGCTATGTCTGATGTGTGTATCATAATCCATGCAGAGTATACCTAGTTTTGAGAGGAAGTTTCATTTGGGTTTTATTTCATTTTTTTACGAGCTGCCTCTAACAAAGTGAAATAGATAAATAATGTGTATATAAGAGTGTGACAATTTAGAACTACGCCTTTGGTCTGACCTAAGCGTAGTACATAAAATTATCTGCTACAATGTCCTATCTGTCAGTGACTACTTCAACTTCAACCACAACAATACACGAGCACACAATAGATACAAACTTAAAGTAAACCTCTCCAAACTCGATCGCAGAAAATATGACTTCAAGCAAAAGAGTGGTCAATGCCTGGAATGCACTACCTGACTCTGTGGTTTCTTCCCCAACCCCCCAAAGCTTTAACCTTAGACTGTCTACTGTCGACCTCACCCCATTCCTAAGAGGTCTTTAAGGGGCATGCATAAGCGCACCAGCGTGCCTATCGTCCCTGTCCTACTGTCCCCTTTTATTTGTATCCATCTCATGTATTCATAATTATGTCTATACTTATATCTGTTATCTAATACATGCTTGATGAAATAAATAAATAAAATAAAGTATCTGCAACTCCATGATTCCCTAAAATTGCACAGAAACAGCAACATACTGACATCTTATTTGGACTTACTGTAGCTTTTCAAACTGTTGGTTGTTATTTAACTATTGAGATTGATACCCTGGGATTAATATCAAAGGAAAAAGCCATAAAACTACCTACCAACCTACCACCTTGTAGAAGTAAATCCATCGGTAAAACAACCAAACTACATAAGAGGTCCCATTTGGAGAAAAAAAGTAGAGACACTCAACAAGAGCCCCTGCTTTCCCCATTATTAGTTTCTCCTTTCAAAAGCAATCCTTCTACCATTGCACACCATACCCAGAGGACCATATAGCAAGCAGGGCATCCTTTCAAAGTAGGACCTCCCAATTGAGAATGGTTAAAATAAGATGAGGTAATAAGGGTTCAGTCATACAGGAGGAAT